TGCCTGCACCATCTGATGCACAGTGAGACTCTAGTTTAGGCAGTGTTTGCTTACAATAGATTTTGGCTGTGGGCAAACACTCGAGGCATTAGCTTGATGTCATGCTGACAAATACAGCAAAACTTGGAAACTCAGGGAAGGATGACAACAGATTTTGAAAAATCTGATCCACCAATACAAAATGGCAACTGACAGAACTAATGGAGGATGGATTGAGTAAAGGATGGCATTTCCACGTGTGTGAAAATATTTTGAAGTTGATTCTGGTGACAGTGACAGATCCATAAGGACATTCACTATGCACTGCAACACAGGACGGGCAGCACTACAATGTGCCAGGGAAGCAGCGCTGTCTTTGAAGAACAGGCACAGATCCATCTAAAAAGTGATTAGACACATTGTGTTTGTTAACTCCCCAAAAAAAAGTTGAATGAGGACTGCTGAAATTACCAAGGTACTCATTTAGAAGTGGGCACCATGACATTTCATACAATTTACCAGTTAAGCTGAACATTATGTTTTTATTGTCACTGGCAACCAGCAGAATTAAATCCCATGCCCTAGTAATGCCCCAGGAAGAGTGCTTCTATTTTTGCATAATAAAAAGAATTAACTGACTTCAGCCCTGAAAAATTAAAGGATTTGTCATGTTTATCAATTAAGACCACAGCCTGAAGTACAGCTTCAGACTACTAAGAGAAAGTTCTTCAGTCCTGCTAAACCAAAAGAACAAGTTTGCAGTATCAAGGGGATAAAAACTCAGCAAGGGTCTAATACACTTCAGAATGTCAAGCTTGGAGTGGTATTTAGCAGACCTGCTTCATCCATGCCTCCTGGCTCTCTGTGTGTCAGCATGAACACGTTATCACCGTTGCAACTGACTGCTGGCAATTCCCTCTGATGTTAATGAGTTCTGAATTTATGCAAAGTCTCCCAGTTGGTGCTTCCGCAAAATCTTCCAACAGAGATACCAAGGCAGGATACCTGTGGTAAAAGCATCTAGCTTTCTCCTAGTTATTAATTAATACAGCAAGCCAGACTTCAGTGGCCATTTGAAAATCTTTCAAAACACATAGAAAAAAAGAGTTAACAAGAATGCATCACAACCTTGTTTTGAGGTCCTACACATCTATTGGAAAAACTTTATGACATATTCCTATAATCTGATGAATCTTTCACAAGACAAATCTGAAACCAGAAATAAAATGCTTGATCCTCAAAGCAATTAGGATTTGCAAAAAGCTGTCAGGACCTTGTGCAATCAAGTAAATCTGCAACGACAGAATAACGTCACAGCTTTTTTACAGAATTATCCATGGTCATTCAGAATCACAGCCACTATCAAATACCCATGGCTTAACAAGAAGGAGGAAATTAAGTGAGCCAGCATCAAACACATACCTCTTACGCCAGTAAAAGAACCTTGTGCATCTCCAGCAAGGTCCTAGGACATTAGCCACCATGCTTCCCAAAAACCAGCACTGCTATGCACAGTCTACTAAATATTGATTCAAGGGTTAATCATTTGGATAAGCAAGGGGAAGCTTTGGGACTATTTGAGTCAATACCATGAAATACAGGTTTTCAGATCATAGTTGAAGAGAGAGATAGTAAATACGTTCTCCATCTCAAATGCAGATTCAACAATCAGAGTCCCACTCACTCTTTGAAGAGCCCAAGTGTGCACCTAATTCACCCATTTGTTAAATCAAGCACAACTGATGGTCACAAACCAAGCAGAAAGCACCACTCCTCTAAAAGTCAGTAAAGAAGCACCTCCAATCTTGTAAGTGCTAGCAGTTAGCCTTGTGGGACAAACTTTTCTTACTGGGTTGGACTCTATGTGAAGGAATTTTTTCCCAAAATTCAGAGATTAATCTTTAGAATTCAGTGTTGCAAATATAGAACCTTAGAGTTAATAAAAGGTCGTATCTGACATTTCCCACTGCAGCACAGGGGAACTTATTTTCTGCAGAAAGAATGAATTATAAATTCTATGTAGCTACATAATCCAAATAAAATATTCTCCCATAACCAGATAATCGTTTTATAATAATTCTTACATGCACAGCATGGATCATCTCAGCTATTTTCACAATCACTTTGCCCTAATTTTGCAAGAAGTACATGAAATTCTTTTCACAGAACTGCTTTTGTGATATGCTTTCTAAGGTACATTCACCAAAGGGTTCTGCTCTGCTGGAAATGATGAAAACAAGGAGCAGTATGACATTTTATTTCATCAGAACAGCAGAGGAATAGCTAATGTTTTGCAGAATTCTAGACTATTTCTTCAGGTTTTGTATTAGCATCCCGAATGCTGTAAGTGGCAACTCCTGCTGCTTAAATCTCAGTACAGATGTGTCACAACATATTTTCAAGAAGAGCTGGACATGCTCTAACTCCTTTAACAATACCCATTTCCCCCTAATTGCAGTGATCAAAACTGGAAGCTGATCTGACTTTTGACACACACATTAACAGAAATGGAATCACAACCCAGCAGTTTCTCCTTGGCTTATCAACTGCCAAGAACCCAACATGAAGTGCAGCTTTTACACGCTCCAGTGGGCTAGGTGACCTCCATCTTCAGAGCCTGAGAACATGCTGCTCCTGTTACTATTCTCAGAACTGCAATTCCCTTTTTTCCCCCTTAAATAAAGGGAAATTAAGATTAGTGTTCTAGACAGACCCACCAGCCCAAAAGAGATTGGCAGGGGCAGAGAGGAATAGTTAAGTCTTTCCCTGGCCTACAACACAAGTTTCCTGCAAGATCCTTTGAAGTTTTAGAATTCTAGGCTTAGAAAAGAAAGATTTTTCTGCTGTTTTCATATCACATGGATCCTGTGAAAGCCCTATTGCACACTTCCATTTCCATCTTTTCCACATATCCCCCAACTTTTCTCAGGGGATATCATGCTTGGCTTTCTCTTGTTCCACATATATTCTAGAGACAGATGCTATGAGAAACAAGGTTCAGGTATCATGCATTGCCTTGTGCTTTCAAAATAATTCCACATTCACTACGACTAGGACTCAATGCCACTACTAAAAAGGCACCAGAGAATTTTGATGATGCAGGCTGTATTTATGCTAATCTATTTTGTCTCTGGAACAAAGATGTCCCACAGAAGGATTAGTGGAAGTGTTGCTTCAGAGGGGAGGCTGTGCAGTAAGAGCTGGTCCCTGTACTGACACTGGAGCACTGCACATTTCTCTGCACACCTCCAAACCAGTGAAGTCTGGAAGGTTGAACCTTCACTAGTTCTGTTCTATCACCATGATTGCCCCTTTCCATTCATTGACTGACAAAGCAGTGACTGCACAGTCTGTATGTGGTGTTCAGCTAGAGAGTCTGCTCTGGCCATCACAGTGTATTTTTAATTTGCATCACATGCATGTTGTTAGGGAAAAAGTCATGCTTTCATACAAAGAAGTATATTGTTTGTAGACATCTCAATTGCAAGATTCTGAGAGACAAAAGCTTTACAATGCCATCTCTGGTTAGGAACATTCCTATTCATTTTTTCATTTCAATTAACAACATGCACCCCATACAATGCACACCTCCTTGCCTCCCTCTCCAATTCTTCAGGTTAGTCTGCTCAAACAGCTCCTTGGATGTTCAGGTTCTACAGACTTCAGAAATTTTAAAATTTGTTTTTTATCACACATCAAGCTACTTACAACAAATGACAACAAAAGTTTGATATTAGAAATTAGGCCCTACAACTGAGTCACTATCAATGAGGATAAGACCCATGAGTATTAAAGTTATAAGTACTTTCCTCTACTATGTTAAACATTATAGATAAAAGCCTTTTTAATCAGAGGTTTCTAACCAAGCCCCACCCAGGCACTTTCCTGTAGTTCAAACTGTAATCTGTATTGGTGCATATTCCTCACTAGGTGCAAGACTCTACACTTAGCTTTGTTGAACTTCATTATTTTATTTGAATCCCCTTACCTTCTCTAATAGAGATTAGACCTTCTGCTTCAACAAACTCTAAGAAATTGCTTTCCTAGAACTAGCTGGCCCAAAACATGGGAAGTCCCATCTGCCTCCCTTGCCCTATCATTAGTCTGCTGTAAGGCTGGTACATCAGCCAAAGAGTGAAATGTGAACAGTTCATGGTCTGGGGATACGACTTAAGCAATACTGCCAAAAGAGCTTAGGCAAGTGTAAATGAATCTCTTCTGAATTTACAGATGTGGGTCTAACCAACAGGTCCTTTTCAATACTGCAATACACTCCTAATGTGCTCTTCTGCAGGGACTGCAGTGCTGCCGCACTTAAAGGGAAAAAGCAACAGTTTCTTAAGTCTGAGACACGATCACAGAGGTGAGCACAGAAATCCAAAAAATGTCAAATTACCATAGTTAACTATGCAAAAAAAGTGAAATTATGAACTGATGAAGACACAGCTATAACTGCATTTGAGGCAGATAAAAATGCTTGGTCCAGCAGGTAAAAAAGATCTACTGACTAGCTGTAACACATCTGTTTGAAAGAAAGGAGCATGAGAGGCCTCCACCAAAGCAGGCTATCTCACCCCAGCTAAAAAGCTCTTCCAATGCCTCTGGCAAACTTGCTGAAAAAACAGAAACCACCATGCCCCAAATTCAGTGGGGAACGGGGAAGGAAACAATAATTAGATCAGCATAAGCAACTCTGACATTGATGCAAGAGCCAAGATTGATTTTCACCCAGGGCCACATACAAACAAAAACATGAAACAAGAAATAACCTAGGTAAACATTTTGCTTGGATATGGGTGTACTAAATCACTGACATTCACATGCAATCAGTAAAGCATGCAAGAGAGAAGTCATCATTAGAATGCTGCTGCTCTGCCTGGCTCAGGAAAAGGATTTGTTGGACTGAACACTGCACAGCCCAAAAGATAGGTGCTCGTATAAATGGGAGTTGGCTCAGAAAGGAAACTGAAAAGAAACTAAGAAAAAGCAGTGTCAGACAAGCATGAGTCAAGACACCATACCGTGTCCGAAGAGGAACAATCCATGTCTGATGGTCCTGGATGCTGAACAAAACAGCAGCTCCTCAGAAAAGCTCTAACACAGACTGTTCTGGAAGCATGCTAAGAAAAGAGCTGAGGTGTGTTTGCTCTACCTGCTTCAGCGCTGCACACAGAGTCTAAACAATGAACTCTGGTAGGCAGATGGTGCTGGGTTACAGGAGTCACTTGGTGGCCAGTTATTTGATAGCCAATGACTTTGTTCTACGCACTAGAAATTAGCTGGCTCAGGAAGAATTTAAATATGTTATAGCAACCTAACTTGTTCACAGCAGAGGCTGCATCCCCAGTAGAGAGCTTGCCACTACGGCTGGAATACCTTTTTAAGATTAAACAAACAGTACTCTCCCCTTTCCCTTCTCTATAGGAAATAAGGTCTTACCATCTTTATAGAGCCAGGGCTCTTCTCAACAAAAGCAACATGTGCTACCTTCAGCTTTACTAAAAATACACTTTTCTTATTCCACAACTAAGATGACTGCAACTCACCTAGTAAAAGCAATTGGGATGCAGCCAGAATACTCTGCACGTATTTAGGAGAGCATTTCTTTGTAAAGGAATTTCCTGATGTGATAAAACCTTGCTATCCTGTGAACTGGTGATGGATATGTCCAAAAGTTCAGCAGATTTGCTAGCAATTACTCTTCAAAATTAATCAAATTTCCACCTACAATTTCCACCTACAGCCTCAGTAATCCTCAGAGAAAAAAAAAACAATGAAGCAAATGCTTGCTTCTGACTGCTTACCACATAATGGGCACGAATCCATTGCACAAGATGACACCCTAAATTTCAAAGAAAAATGGTTCAGACTACAAAGGCTTTGAGCTGGACTGATGAATTTACTAGTGGCAAGTGGCTGCATCACTACAATGTCAATTTTATAGTGCCAGATACAGAATAACCTTGGGGGAACCTTATACTCCAAATGGCATAAGAGCTCACTGAAGATGTATGGCATGTGTGAGTGTGAGGGGAAAGTGTAGACACATTTCTACAGACTCCCTATGGAAAGGGACAAATAATCCATCTACATAGAAGCTGAAAGGCAACTACTCCAGCCAAGACCTTAAAATGTCTAGAAAAAACAGGCACACCATTGTCACTGACTGACTAGAAGTCCTGCCATTAGCCAGTTTTAATCCTCTAGCCCACAGACCAAACTGGTGATGGGGTCTCCTCCTCTATCCTTATCAAGTTCAGGCTTCAATTCCAGCAAAAGTAAAATGTACCTCCAGACAGGTCACAGTCCTGTTGGGTAAGCTGAGGGCTTTCCTGGAATGAAGTCTTGCAGAAATTAAGGCATGCCTTGTTCTCCTCTCTCACCCTGGAATTTTCCTCATCTTTTCAGAGCTGCCACAACCTACTGGCAGAGAGAGGATGTGGCTACAGCAGCAGCAGAAATTGCTGTCTGAGTAGGTATTAACATCATGCTACAGATAACAAGCTCTTGGGAATGACGGTAGAATCCCAGGAGTGGACTGTGCAGATTTAATTGTTCATAGAGTTCACTGCCCCCTTTTAAATACCTTTCTTCACTCAGAAGGAGATTTCCAAATATGACTGACAGAACAACTGTAGTCAGAACTTATACAAAGAAGTAGAGAAGAAGGAGCAATGTTCCTGCAGAGACAGTGCCAGCCAGGACATGCTCCCATATCCTGACAGGTCATCCTCCAGATACAACAGCACATCCCTCACCGCCTTCCTTTGGGAGTATGTGCTGGATCACCGCCGGAGTTTCAGCCTGGCCTGGAGTGGTAACAAAAATGTTCCTGTACTTCTGCACCTCAGGCCTGACATGGGACAGGGAAGTGACAGGACAGAATCCCAATTAACCAAAGTATTCGGTGAGGCAACCTTTAGGCCACTGCTACAGAGGACAGCATCAAAAAATGCTATATAACTAAAAGCAGCACTAACTGAAATCAATTTTTCAGGACCCATAGTCCTACAACATAACAAATTTCATGTAATGTAAGAATTTACAAAACTAGTAGCTGTGTAACCCCTGGGCTACATTACAATGAATATATACAAGAATGACATTTTCATTATAGAAGCTTTTTCCTTCTAGAAAAATGAGGGATTTTTGTACCTGCACTATAGACCTAATGTTGTATTAACATACTATTTATAAGCCCTATAGGTATAACACTTCATTTTGCTTTAGTTACTTTTGGCTTTCTGTTGTTCACTTTTTCCTCATTTTACAGAGTAATCTTAGCATGCAGTACAACTTTCTTAAGGTGAGATAAGCAGTATTTTGCAGAAATAAAGAATGCAGATTTTATAAGCATGCTAAGCACTCAAACTGTCTGGTGACTAAAATTACAAGTTTTTAAAAAAACTAAGTATCTGGTAGATAATATAATTTCTTTTTATTCTCTTTGGATATTAAAACACAAAGCTGTGCAGAAATGCATTTTCTGTACCTTCAAAATTTCTGAAAATTTTACACTTTCAGAACTGGTGCAGATTTGGCATCTCAGCTGAAGAGCCAGGAGTATCACTGTAGGATTTGGCTGAACAAAATCCTTAGTTTGGCTGTCATCATCATAACTAGAGCTACCAGCCTGAGGCCCCTGCTGGCAAGGAACCAGGCCAGGCACAATGATTCAGATTGAGATATAGGAACCACCAGCCCAATTTCTCTGGAAAGAGCTCCCATTTTTCATGTGGGCTGAAAACCAGGAAAATGAAATATTGCATTCCTGCTGTTTTCAGAAAGTGAGCCAAAGTCTTAGAAGCTTGTGTCAAAGCTCCACTGAAGCTGCTGCACTTCGACAGATGTGTTCTTGGGAAAAGTGGTACTGATGCCATGTAAGCAAAAGCACTTTTACTCTACTTTCATTTTTGTGCTAAGAACAGAAACTGCCTGTGTTGGTCTAGGGGAGCAAGGTGTGATCCAACACTGTCAGTCTGCCATCACATGCAAGCCAGGGCTTGGTGCACGCAAGAGACATGGGCTCCTGAGGCATCCATGTTCCAGCAGACTCAAGATACAGCCCCACTGTACTGTGCTCAGTACATTTCATTTTAACAAAAATTCTAAGGGTTTGGCAAGAGTTAAGGTAACAGTCCAAAACACAGATTTAAAAATCACAAGGAGAGTGTGCAGTGAGACTCCAGTGCTGAAGAAAAGATGGCTCTACACACAACTACGGGGTCAGTCTTTCTTATTTCAAAGGAAATTTTACTTCTTTTTTGTCTGCAGCATCCTCACTGCACAATTTTCCCTTCATCTCTCTCTCCCTTTAATATCTACCTCTGTAATAAGAATTTGATGCTCGGAAACCTTCCCAGCAAAAAACTTGCTAGAAAATAAATCATCATAACAAATACATCACCACCAACAGACCAGGAAAAATTGACTAGTTGGAAGTTAAGACATCAAATACCAAGTCCATCAGCCAAGAAAGGTATCTACCAAGTGTAAGTGTCCCAGGAATAATGAATTTCAGGCCTCATCACATCCCTGCAAACCCTGAAATTATTTTATCTGGAAATAACCCACTACCGAGCAGCAAAGGCTGAAGACCTTTCTGTGAGTGCAAAAAAATCACAACAGGTCGAACTGGAAATGAACAGAATCTAAGCAGAACAGAATTCCTGCAGTTGAGCTTGCATGATGTTGATTGGGATGACGTGACACTAAACATTAGAAGTAAACAAAACACCCTGTAAATTAGTTTATAATAATTTGAAAAGACAGACATTTTTAGGATGGAAGCCAAATGTGACGAATATACAAGAATAGAAATGTGGATCAGAACAAATAGTTCAATTTTCATGGACAGGCATGACATGAATGTGACCAGCCTGTCTTCTCTTCCAGGACGAAAATGTACAGAATTGTACCACAACATCAAAACATGCAGTGTAATGTGTCTCTCCAAGATGTGAAACACTGGGCCTCATCCCATCTGACAGCTGGATGATGTTTAACCAAGTAAAACCAGGTTACCAGGTACTGTATGCCATCCTGTCCATCTGCACACAGCAACTCTGTCTCATTAAGTCTTGTGTTGAACCTCTCCTTTGGGTACGCATCAGTTACCCAGCAGTTCTCAAAACACATTTGTAGAGGTCACACAGAGTCAAGCCAGCTTGCCTGACTTCACAATGCTTATCCAAACAACCTGGAAAGAGGAGGAGAATGACTACCCACCTCATTGATTTCACATCACTGCATCCAACGTGAAGCGTTGGAGGGCACACATGACAGACCTGGCCAACATGCAACCTGCAGGCCAAACACCTCTCAGCTCTGCAACATAATCCCTATCTGACTTGTTACCAGCAGAGAGAAATTTGCAGCAACCAGAGATCCTGGTAGGCTTTGTCCAGCATGTGCTACTTGGGGTGCTGCCCTTAGCCTTGCAATGGCAAGCCAAAGCAGACGTTGGTGGGACAAGGCTATCAAAGAGACAAGACACATTTGAGCTTTAAAGAACTTAGTTTTGCAAGAAGCCATGTCAGGTTCTCTGCCCTTGCTCTAAATAAAGCACTGGTTACTGTCAGGACATGCTGTCAGCAGACACCAGGCATTAGTGCACTATCATCCCTGACAGACAGCTGATCAATAAACAGTGCAAGAGTCAGTGGCAGGTCTGGAGGGTGGAAGGGTTCAGAAAGGTTTCAGACAGCGTTTTAAGAACGGGATAGCTGCTACATGCCAAAGAGAAGCCAATCTTTTAAGTTTGAAGATGGGCAGACCAGCAGGCCTGTCAGATGGTTTCCAGGCACATCAGCAGCAGTTGTCCTGGAGTTCAGTATAAAGACATCAAAAGCTAAGATGACACTTTATCCATGCAGATGAACAGACATTCAAAAAGCGTGCATGCTGGTCAACAACACAAAGTTCAAGATTTTGAGCAAATCCCAGCTTCATAAACCTTATTTCAGGACCTGTCACACACTGGCCAGCACTCAGACGGAACAGTGCTTTCCTGGGACACCCTGTTCCCTTTGGAACAGGATGAAAAAATATTTCATCTACTGTATACTCTATAAATCAAGCAAGGGACCTTCTTTGTTTGCTTTTAGCAGGGAATAATGTTTAGAAACATTTATTTTTATATATAGCTTCAGTGGCAAGTCACAGTGACTTTTAGGTAGCACATGAAAAACAA